GATCCAGAGGAATGTGATAGTGATCCCCAAATCGGTCACCCCAAAGCGGATTCTTGAGAATATCCAGGAAAGTGCTTTTCTTCTTTTACTCGGAGGGTTTGGGATCATATGTTAGTTAGCTGGGTGTCTGACCACTGCAGCAAACGGGCCCCCTGTGGCTTTGACACGGCAGAGGGGCGGGATGAAGCTGTGGCCACAGCACAAGGAACCCGAGAGGGTGACCGCACCGGCCTAGGAGCTGGCAAACCAGCTGAAACAGGGAACAGAGAGGTGATGAACCAGGGAGTCGGCCAGAGGCGCCCAGGGCGCCCGCCCAGCCAGGAGCCTGCTCCCCAACCCTCAGGACCGCTGGCCCTGGGGCTGCCCTGAGCCCTCCAGAACTGAACCCAGCCTCCCCCGAGGCCCCAGCTCGCCCTCCAGTCAGAACTGCGTGGACACCGAGTCCCTGGTTTCTGCTGGACTGGGGTGGAGGATCCCCTGTGGGGAGAGGCCAGACCCCCGGCCACTGCACCTTCTCTCCCAGCTCCTCAGCAGCGACTAGGGTTGGCTCTCCTGGGAGAAAAGCTCTGATTTTAGGAGTGAGTCCTAGTCCTCGAGTGTGTGAAGAGCAAAAGGGCGGGCAGGGTGGCGGGAGGCAGCTTAGAATTCTGCTTTAGAAGGAAAGGACATGAAAATCACACCGTGTTACAGATACTGTTAGACTTAACGGTCCCGGGGCCCATGTGTCCTCTGGGCTGGCAGGGTGTGGGGCACAAATGGTTTGGGGCTTTGGTTTTTCATTTTTTAGTTTTTGTGAGCAGTGGGGAGAAAATGCTTTGCTGCACCTCTTAACTCTTCTGGGATGTCCTTACTCCCGAGGGGTGCATGCAGTTCCCACCCAGCCCTGGGCAGCCGGCAGCCGGCGGCGGCGGCTCACAGTCCACGTGCGGGTGCGGAGGCCGATGCTCTGGGGGATTTGCTGATGTCACACGCGGTGTTTCATCCGCAGCGCCATGTCCCCGACGGGCCTGGCTCAGTGCCTTGCAGGTGACGCGTGCTCAGCGAAATGTTCACCGATCTGAACTGGCTGTGAACATCCGTTTTGGCTGCAGGTGTTTGACTTCGAATTATCAGAACAGGATATGAATGACATCCTCGGCCTAGACAGGAACTTCCGAATGTGCAGCTTACCCATGTAAATATGTCTCCTTTACTTCCTCTCATGACAGGGATTGGTTCCTGAAGAGGTGCTGATTATATACGTTTGAGGTTAAATTAAGCCTTTTCATCAGTCTTTCCTGTTTGAGGCTGGGCCACTGAGTGAATCCAAAGACTAATTTAATTTAATACATCGGGGAGCTTGAAAGTACATGACTGTCGCTTTTAGTATGTTTCTTTTAAAAAGAATGAACATCTCTATTTTTTATTTGTTTTCCTGTTTTTCAGAGCTAAAAACCACAAGGACTATCCTTTCAACATAGACTACTGAGCATGGCTCCCCCCTTCCTCCTCCTGCTGCCGGACAGATGCCCCAGGTCTGACCCGCCCCGCCTCTGCACAGGGCGGCCAGGGAGGGGAGGGACGGGGTTTGATTTGGGTGGATTCCTGCCTGGAATAGAAGCTGAGCTCCCTGAGAAATTCACACGGTTCAGCCGGTCTCAGTGATGGAGACAAACACCATGGGAGTGGTGATTACTCTCCATGGAGAACCCTCAGTCCTAAGGATCCTTTGAGCACAGTGTGATGGGATTTTTACAAGATAAGCTATGTGGCCTGTACTCTCAAAATAAAGATTGTATTATGGAAATACTTAAATACAAGAGTTGAGGTGGGGTGTCAACGAGTCTCTACATCTGTCACTCAAGTCCCCTCACCAACCCTGGGCCCTCCTTGTGTCATCTGTGCTTCTCTGTCCCTGCCAATCCCCCCAAAATCCTTAACCTTCACACATCCAGAGAACCCCTGGCTGAACGTGGGAGAGGTCTCAGTTCAACACAGAGGCTTTTCTTCTTATTTAAATATAGCTGGGAAAACCCAGCTCGGAGAGGACATGTGGCCCATCCCCCTCATGCACTCAGGGTCCAGCCCGTCCACGTGCCGCGTGAGGAAGAGCATGAGGGCGCATGTCCACATGGGCTCGTTCAGGGCAGCATGGGACTCGTCTCACTAGGTGGCACTTTGGCACCAAGCTTCGGACCAATTATTATGTTAGATTAAAAAGGCTCATTTTCATGAATTAATTGCCAGGTGTTTCCCTGTTTCTGTTAAGTGTATGAAAAGTTCTACACAACTGGCTAATAATGCTTTCTATCAATATTTACAGAAATTTTCTATGTAACAAAGTAATTCTACCGGATTCAGAATGCAAAGAGAACGGAAAAAAGCTCAATTATAGAAAGTAAAAATGGCCTAAAATAGCAGTATCTAAGAAGAATCATCTTTCTAGTGGCTCCTTCTAATCTTTGCCCATGTCCACGACATATGTAGATAAACAAATTACATAAAATATGTAACACAGGGGTGCCTGGGTGGCTCAGTCGGTAGAGCGTGGGACTCTTGGTTTCGGCTCAGGTCGTGATCTCGGGGTTGTAAGGTTGAGCCCCAAGTGGGGCTCTGTGCTCAGGGAGGAGTCTGCTTCTCCCTCTCCCTCTGCCCCTCCCCCCACACACTCTTTCTCTCTCTCTCAAATAAATAAATCTTAAAAAAATATATGCAACACATATACACATCTAATAAATGGACATAAACACTTCACAAAACCTGCCACACAGCATATGTCATTTGTAACTTGCTTTTTAAAAATGCATGAATGTATATACTGGATGTACAGTTCATGCAACTGTTCACTTAATATTTTGACAAATAATTTTAACTGATCATCCGAGCTTCCTGCCTAGTGTAAATGATTTCCACATCTTACACTGAATCCTTATCACCATAATTCCAGCCTTGCAAAGGCACTGTTCGATGGGGGGGGGGGGGGGGGTGCGGCTTCTCATCTCTACACCTTAAACAAATGTCCCTTGAGGGACCATACACTGTAAGTTCCATCATTTTATATTCTACAGAAAAAAAAGGATTACACATTTGTAAGTGGTTTTTTGACTAGGACCACTTGGAAGAGCAACACCATGGCAAACACCGGGAAGATGAGAAACACTTGGCCCCACAGAGCTGGGGTCGAGGACGCGTGCACACCGTGAGCCCTGTGCCTGCATCCGCTGGGCTCAGCGCGGGCGGCCCACAGGTTCTGTCGCACTGTGCACATCCGAGAACGCTCCGCAAAGCACGAGGGCGCGGACTGTCCATGAGTAGGCAGGGACCCCAGCGGCGACCCCAGGCCTCGCCTGCGTGGGAGGATTTCGAAGCGGGTCCGCGGGGGGCGCCGGCGCATTCGCGGCTCTGGCGGCAGGGGGCGCCGCTCCCCCGCCTGTGGATTGGAGGCTCTACCTGAGGGGTCGTCCGGGGATGGGGGTCGTCCGCGGGTGGGGGTCGTGGAAGCCGGGCTAGAGGACGGAAACGGACGTAAAGAGCGCACGGGCCAGCTCAGGGGAGGCGGCAGGGGTTCGTTTCCGACCCCGGACCGACATCGGGGGCGCTGGCTGGGAAGGCGAAGCAGGGGAGCCGATGGGGGGGGGGGGGGGGCGGGGACCAAGCAGCTGGGCCCTGTTTGTTTACCCAGCTTCTGAGACTGGACCTCTCCCCAGGCAGCCCAGGGGTTCCGGCGAGGCACCGTGAAGGTGTGACCCCGGCCCCGGCTCCCCGCAGGCGTGACCCCTGCCCCGGGTCCCCACAGGTGTGAGGCCTGCTCTGGCTCCCCACAGGTGTGACTCCGGCCCTGGCCCCCCGCAGGTGTGACGCCTGCCCCGCTCCCCGCAGGTGTGACGCCTGCCCCGCTCCCCGCAGGCGTGACCCCTGCCCCGGGTCCCCACAGGTGTGAGGCCTGCTCTGGCTCCCCACAGGTGTGACTCCGGCCCTGGCCCCCCGCAGGTGTGACGCCTGCCCCGCTCCCCGCAGGTGTGACGCCTGCCCCGCTCCCCGCAGGCGTGACCCCTGCCCCGGGTCCCCACAGGTGTGAGGCCTGCTCTGGCTCCCCACAGGTGTGACTCCGGCCCTGGCTCCCCACAGGTGTGACGCCTGCCCCGCTCCCCACAGGTGTGACGCCTGCCCCGGCTCCCCGCAGGTGTGGCGCCTGCCCCCGTCTGGGAATGGCCCCGTCCCGCCTGGTCCACAGGGAGACCAACAGTAGTTTGGAGGGCTGCCAGGGGGGGGTCTCTCTCTCCGTGCTGTGGACAGCCCGGTGAAAAAGGACGCCATTGCTTTCCCGTCTCGTGCACACAAGGGCAACGTGAGCTCTGAACAATGGGGTCCATCTTTTTTGATGGAACCTCTACTATTAGTAACAGTTTTTGAACTTGCACCCAAAAACATGTATATTTTTTATGTATTATATAAATGAATTCTTTACTGTCCGTTATGTACATTATAAAATATGCCTCAAAATAGAAAAAAAAAATTAAACCAAGCCAGAGATGAAATAAAAAATTGAAAAGTAAGAACTTTAATCACAGTCCAAACTCTTTGTTCTAATTTATTGATTACTAACAAATTCTTTTCAAAGCAATAGTTTGACTATGCTTTACATATATATATATATATATATATATATATAGTCAATCTTGATTCAATACTTTGTGATGTAGAAATTTGAAATTCTGATTCTAAACTCAGTTTCATTTGAAACATGGTCTTTATGGCAAGCAGCTGGGGCTGGAAATTGCTCACAAAGATGCATTGATGCAAATGAAGAAAACACAACTTTGGAAGCTCTTAATCACGGCACTCATTTCTCAGTCCCTTTTACCAATTATGCCATTTCTGAAATTTGGAATCTCCAATATATGTTAAGTTTTTTGAAAAATTATACTTTCAGTAACTTTTAGGAGATCTATTTCTCCTGGAGGAAAGTTGGGATTATATTCCAAAGTCCTTACAAATGTGTCTATGAATTGATAGCAGTTGAACCTCTAGATATTGAAGTTTAGGAAAAAAGAGCTCCCCCCCCCCATATTCTCAAGTTGAAGAGTATATGTTGCTAAAGAAAAGTATTTATGGTTAATCATTTGAATGTAGGGGGAAATTAAAATTTGAATTTAACAACAATTTCCAGAAAGGATTGTTCTTCCCCTGGGGTTCATTTGAACTTTTGAATCCCTCACCCCAAATTCTGAATTATCCCACCACTTGGTAACTAACAATGCCAAGTCCTACGACTGGCTTGAAATCCCCATCATTCAAGTTCAGAGAAGGAGGTGTGTCGAGCCACTGGCTTCACTGGCTGGGCTAAATCACTCCTGTTTTCAATTCCACTTCCTCTGGGCTGTGCTCTGAGAAGATTGTTCTTGGGATTACTCAAGGACTGGTAGAGGGGCCTATGGCTAGAGCCTTACCCAAATTCTTTTGACACTGGGTTAGAAAAGATTCCAAAAGGAAAGGGAATATATGGAGCTGAAACCAATTTTCTGGTTTCTTATTTTATAAAGCACTTTTATCTTCAGATAAGTGTAGATTCACAGTAAGTCGTAAGAAATAATATGGAATATCCCATGTACTCTTTACTCAGTTTCCCCCAGTGGTACCATCCTGAAAAACTATAACACAGAATCACAGAATCACAAAAACCAGGGTTTTGACATTGATGCAATCCACTGATCTTGTTCAGACTTTCCCAGATTTATGCTGACTTGTGTTCTGTGATTTTTTACACATGTGTGTGTTCAGGAATCCTTCACCACAATCAAGACACAGAACATACTCTCCTCTCTCTTCTGTTCCCACTTCCTCCTTTTTCCCCAACTTGACTGAGATATAACTGACAAACTCTATGCATTTAAAGTGTACCAACACAATGATTTGATAAACATATTCATTATGAAATGATTCCCACGATCAGGTTAATTAATACATCCATCACCCCAGATGGCTAATATTTTTTTGTTTTGGTGAGAGCACTTATGATCTATTCTTTAAGCAAATACCAATTTTACAGTACAGTATTATTATCTATAATTACCCTGCTGAATGTTAGGTCCTCAGAACTTATAATAGAAGTTGTGCCTTTGACCAACATCTCTGCATTCCCCCCACTGTGATGACACAAATGTTAGATTTTTTGTTATTGTTCAGGGTCAACAAGGCTCTGTTCATTTCCCCCCCACTCCCAGTTACTTTCTCTCTCTTGTTCCCATTGGGTGATTTATGTTGTTTTACCTCCCATCCAGTACACTAATCATTTCTACTGTCCCTTAATGTCTATCGAGTCTATCCTTTGAGTTTCGCATTTCAATTATTGTATTTTTCAGTTCTAAAATTTCCATTTTGTGATTGTTTATATCTTCTATTTCTTTATTGAAACTTTCTGTCTTTCCATTTGTTCCAAGTGTGTTTGCCATTGTTTCTTGAAACATTTTCATGATGGCTGTTTTAAAATCCTTCTCAGATAATTTTCATATCTTGGTCATCTTGGTGTAGGGCATCCTTTGCTTGTTCTTTTTCACTGAGTTTGATAATCTTGTCCTTGGCATTATGAGTAATTTTTAATTGAAATATGGCCTTTTTTGTATTGTGTTTTAATTAAGTTTTAGATCCCTTTAAAAGGTCTGATAAAATTGTATAGTGTGGTAAATTCACAGAACAAAAGAGAAAAGAAATTCTTACGGACAAGTAAAAAGCTTGAAAGTATATTAAATGGTTAGGTTTTTTTGGAGATTAATATTCCCTGTGATCACTTCAAAAGATCAGCATTTCAACCTCTGTGACAGAAGAAAAAGCAAAACAGACTAAAAACCAAGGCTAGGTTGTTTGAAATGTATTTTCCTTGACTTTTGCGGGGAGGGGGAGACTGGGTTTAGAAACTTTTACTTCCAGATCTGGGGAATCAAGCCACATATCAACCTGTCAGGCTAAGCAACGTGGATAAACGAGATACCTTCTCATCGGTGAGTTGTTTGCCAGTCATCAACCAGAGTCAAAGAACTCTGGAGCAACCAGACACTGTTGTCAATTCTCATCAAAAAATGGATAATCTGGATGCTTAACAAATCTAAAAGGCAAAGGGAGAGACTTAGTCAAGTAACTGTTTCTGGGCTGGATAAAGAGAGGTTTCTTCTAAACTGGCTTAAGTATGAAAATTAATGGAACTTTCTTTTGGACAGGTACAAAAGCACCCAGTTTTATAATAACCATGTACCCCTCCTTGACACTGTAATGAATAGAATGTAGAAAATACACTTACAAACTCACGAACACAGGTACAAAAATAAACCAATATGGTGCATTTTTGCAGGTACTGTATTATTCTACAACTTAAGGAGATAAACTCTTTGTGTTGCTAATTTAAACTCCCAAGAGGGCAGAAATGAATTCTGCCTTTTTAAAAACCATGCCAACCTGGTTTAATACATACAGTTAACAAATATTTCAAGGCAATGAAGAGGAAGGTGATAAGAATGTCACTGTTGTTCAATTTCTTTCAAGCACTCAGAAGTAATTCATCTACCCCTTTACTCAGTAAGAAATTACTTTTTAGACCTAGGGATGGATACAGTGATTATGATGTAAGTCACATCAGGGGTATTTCATTTTAGCAAGGGAGGTAGACTCTCTCCCTCTCTCTCTCTCTCTCTCTATATATATATATAGTAATAATTTTGAGATAGGAAGTGCTAAATCACTAAATAATTAATTACTGATTAAAATGACCAATGTTAATTCCCGCTTCTCCACTCTCCCTTCCTTACCTTCTCTATCATTTGATGGTATTATTCCTTCAACCAGCATTTAGTAATCACTCAGGGAGAGAGTAGATTTTTAAAAATCCTGCTCTAGGAATCTAACATTTCGAATAAGGTAAATGGGAAATAAACAGCATAAATCAGTAAACCGTATGGCATGCTAATTAGGAATATGTGCCAACAGAAAAACAAAGTCGAGTAGAGAGAAAGGTCTTACTGGGCAGGGTTGCATTCTTAGGTAAGGTGACAGAGAAGGTATCACGGAGGCAACTCCTGAGGGAGGACGTGAAGGAGGCGAAGGAGTGGGCATCCAGCTATCGGGAGGAAGAACATTCTAGGCAGAGAGAACAGTCAGTGCAAAGGCCCTGGGATGGGCCTGGCGTCTGTGAGGAACAGCCAGGAGGCCACAGGGCTGCACTGGAGTCAGCAGGGGGAGAGAAGGACACAGACACAGACAGCGAGGGAGAGAGCATCCTGCTGTCCCTGCAGGTGTGGTAAGGAGCTTGGCCTTCACTCTGAGTGAGAGGACAGGCTAACAGATGTCAAGGAGTGCCCATTCTTTCTGGCCTCCAGGTGTGGAGCAGACGACAGCCAGCTACCTGAGCAGGAAGACTCTGGGATGAGACTGTGTGTCATGGGGGGGGGGGGGCATCTGCACATGCCATAGTGAGCTCAACTGTAGACGTGACGGGTTTGAGATACGTATTCCACACTCAAGTGCAGCTGAGCAAACGGATACACAAATCCTCGTAGGTCTGGGCTGGATATAATTTGGGGAGTGTGTATTTAGATGGTGTTTAAAGCATGAGACTGGATGAAATCCCCGAGGAGGTGGGTGCAGATAGGAAAGAGAAGAGGTCCAAGGACTGAGTCACTCCAAAGTTAAGAGGTCAGGTGGATGGTGAGGAGCCTGCAAAGAACATGAGAAGGACCAGCTAGGGAGACCAAGGAAATGCAGACGGCCTGTGCGAAAGGAAAGCCAGGAACGTGTTCCTAGGAAGAGAGAGCGATTCACCAGCTAAGACAAGATGAATGAGGAGAGGAGGTCATGGCTGACCTTGATGAGAAGAGTTTTGGCAAAGTGGGGGGCAGGTGCCTAGTTTGTGTGGGTTCAGAAGAGAGAGCCTCGAGGTGGCAAGAATAAGCTTCTTCCAGAAGTTTCCCTGCAGAAGGAGGAAGGGGGCGTGGCTGCAGAGTGAAGTCAGCTCAAGAGAAGATTCTGGTTTTGGTTTTGATTTTAAAGATGGGAGCATGAGGAAACAAACTGAGGGTTGCTGGAGTGGGGGGTGGGGTGGGAGGGATGGGGTGACTGGGTGATAGACACTGGGGAGGGTATGTGCTCTGGTAAGCACTGTGAATTGTGCGAGACTATTGAATCTCAGATCTGTACCTCTGAAACAAATAATGCAATATATGTTAAGAAAAAAAAAGGAAGAAGGTAGCGGGAGGGGAAGAATGAAGGGGGGAAATCGGAGGGGTAGATGAACCATGAGAGACGATGGACTCTGAAAAACAAACTGAGGGTTCTAGAGGGGAGGGGGGTGGGAGGATGGGTTAGCCTGGTGGTGGGTATTGAGGAGGGCACGTTCTGCATGGAGCACTGGGTGTTAAGCACAAACAATGAATCATGGAACACTACATCTAAAACTAATGATGTAATGTATGGGGATTAACATAAGAATAAAAAAAAAAAAAGATGGGAGCATGTTTGAATGCCTCTAGGAACCATCCCATGGGGAGGGAAAAATTGATGGGGATGCAGAGTATGGGATTTCCCCAGGTTTCATATAGCCCACTGAATTAAGGCAGCGAGAAGGGCAGAAGTCAAGGGTATCTACAGGGGATGCCAGCACCCCGCTTGCCCCTGGAATGCAAGTGGGGTGGGGACAGAGGACAGGAGAGCCACAGGGAACAGGGGGTCAGAAGGAAGAACGTTTCCCAGCCACTTTCCTAAAAGATGAGGCATCCCTCTGTGGATTGGGACCAGTGGAGCCCATCACCGTCCTGCTCCCCAGCGTCTACAGCACACCGAGCTACTTACATATCTGTAAAATAGCGAATGTTTTTGTTTAGGCCGTCCAGGGTTTCCATGTCCTCTGGTGTCAACTGGAAATCAAAAACCTGTCAGAAACGGGAGAAGATTGGCTCCTTTTCCTTGTGTCCCTGACTGCCCCCGTCCCCCCTGGAGAAACACATATTTATGTAGGGATGTATGCAGGTGTTGTGAGATGGTGGCCATGAACCTGGGGCTCATTCCCCTGTGTGGCAGTGTGTCCACTGAACTCAGACCACCCTCGGGGTTGCTGGGTGGGTGTGGGTGTGGCTGGAACAAAGGAATCCTAGACAAAGGAATCCTAGGTTTAAGCCCAAATCACATCTCATCTAACTCCTCCATTCTGCCCCTGAAAAAATCAAGGCCATACTGTGGGGTAAAAAAAACAACATCGAGACCCAAACCTGACCCTCTGGAGTCCTTTCCCACATTCCCTCCCTGCCTCAGCCGGATGATAGAGCAGTTACATACAGCACTTAGATGCACACAGTATACACCCAAACAGACCTCGGGGGCCTCACAGATAACCCAGACCCGAGGGAAATGAGGCACTTCTGTTGGTCCCCTGCTGCCCACAGCCCTACCACGAACCTGGAAGTTCTCCCGAATTCTCTTCTCGTTGAAGCTCTTGGCCAAGGCCACCACTCCCCGCTGCAGCTGGAAATGCAGGGCCACCTGGGCAGGAGTGCACCTGTGCTTCTCGGCAATGGCCTTGAGCACTGGATCCTTCAGGAGAACGGGGGTGTTCTTGTTCACCCTGGAAGAGAGGCAGAGGTGCCGTGTGCCTGCGGTTATACCCACTCACGCTACGGGGGCTTCATCCTCTGAAATCCGCCTCATTACCCTCTGACTGTCTCCATCCCTGTTTTTGCTTCTTTTGGTAAATCCAGAGAAGGACCAGAGAAAGGAAGGCAGAAAAGGACTCTCAGGTATTATTTCTCTTTTCTTAAACTTTTCTGAGAAATGTAGTAGAAGACTGGATAAGTCAAGAAGATAAAATGTTTGTCCAAAGCAGGACCCAATAATCTCCATGATAATAAATAATCCAATTATTTTATAACAACTTCAAAAATGCTTTCAAGTAATGATCTGTTCTGTCGAGTGCTAAAAGGTGCATTTTTATATTCCTCTTCAAGAGATAAAGAAACTAAGACTTACAGAAGTTGTTACTTGTCTCCTATCACTCAACTATCAAGCATCAGAATCATGGGCTCCCTTGGTCACTCTTGAAGGCCAAAGCTTTTGAATTGTGTGAACGTTCTAATCAGTGATTTTATTACCTAATACTGTGTTCTTGAGTCGTTACAACGTAGGATAGTTAAAGGGTTTACAAGGATGGATTATTCCTGCTGTCTACCGTCAACCTCCCCCTGAGGGTTGAGCAATGATGACTCCAGAAGATACGGCGTCTGTGGTTAGAAAAAGTGCACAGAGATCATTACCATTCCTTCCTGGAGTCGGACCCCAAGGCAGCGTATGCGGTCAGGACGATGTCCTTGGACTTGCAGAACTCCAGGAGTTTGCTCTGGTTGAGGTAAGGGTGACATTCCACCTGCAGAGTGCCAAGCAGAAGGGTTGGATCACAGGACCAGGGCCACCAAATTGATGAGGCACATACGGGGCTGTGTCACATGGTCACAAACGCATTTAGTTGTCCCACAGGATCGTCACCCACAGCTGTGCCAGTGGAGTGGCCAGAGGCTGACCTCTGGATTACTGCCCAGAGAGAGCGAGTACCGAGAAATGGGCTCGGGGCTCAGGAGAGACAAGATCGGGGTGGGAGGACTTGGGTCTCCTCACGCATTGCTCATATCTAGGGAGGAGCAGCTCTGCCTTTCCTAGTTATCCTCAGTCTTACACTGATCTCTTCTCTTCACAGCCGCCCCGCCTCATCCTCCACATCTGAGTAATTTTGGCTCCCGAAACCAGAGTGCTTTCCTCTTTCCCACCACATCATATTGTGATGTCTCTGAGTGATCCTTGGCGCCTCCAAACACCAGCAATGCTCTGCATCCCTGCACCTGTTCCCTTGCCCAAGCTCAGTCTTGTCTCGGGTGTAGAGGGATTCGGGACTTTGGGCCCCTTTGCCATCAAGTGGAAAGAAAATGGCTAGTTGTTATTCGTCAGAAACTGTTACTGGTGTTATGACACACACACAGCTAGTGAGAGAGGTTTCTGTGCACTAAAAGGTATTCAGTGGTGCTGACTCATTTTCCATCTGTCTTCCTTCCATGCACCTGGAGAGCAGGAAATCCAGAACCTTTACCCAGAATGCCAGCCACGTCTTCTCTGCCTTCTTGTCCAGGTATATGTGGGCCAAGACCGTCAACCCAGCCATGGGACGGGTGGGCTAGGGGCCAGCTCAGCTCAATTGTGGATTCTTGGGCTGGGCTTGGGTATATTCCCTTCCATCAGATCAGTTAGGCTCGAGTTAAACCCCAGGTGGTTAGGCCGCAGTGTAGTTGTTTCGCTGTGGGGTGGGCCCGAACGGAAACAGAATGTTCTAACCATTTTTCAAGCTGACTACTTTCCTTTCCCCTGGCTAGAAGCATGAGGGGATTTTTCTCTCCAGTGTTCATTGGGAAAACCTGGTAGGGCTTCTGGAGGTAAAAATCACAGAAGTGTGGGGACCACCCCCTGGAGTCTTTAGCTCTCAGACTCATCCACACTGAGCCTCCAGCAAGTCAGCAGCTGCTGTTTGACACTCTCCTGCCCCAAAGGGACCCTCGCAGCCCTTGTGTTCCTGGGAAGCTGTGATTCCCTGCATCTGCTTGCCTGCCTCTCCAATTTTGGGGGCAACAGCTTGCCTGGACCCCAATCCTCTGAGGGATCGAAACAGAGTGGCTGGTTCTCTGTTGGGTCAGCTTTTCCATGATTGTACGGATGCAAGGCACAACTCCCCAGCTCCTTATGTGCCGGAGCCCAAACCGGCAGTGCGGCAGAAGCACTTTCTGCTGCACACCTTTCTCGCTGCTTTTCCTCTGACTCCGGTGGTCAGATCAGAGGGAGCAGAGATCCGGAATGAGCTGGCTTGCTGGGGCTGGCTCAGGCAGGAAGTGCAAATTAACTCTCTGTGTCACGGCCACTCCTGTTTGCAGCTCAGGTGGGGAGGAAGGGGGATGTGTTGTATGCGGGGCCCCAAACCAAACCTGGACCCGGGTACACCTGACCTCAACCACCGTCCACGATAACTTGTTTGCCTCACAGGTCACCAGGGACTATACTCTGCACCAGCTCTTCAGGCCCGTGTAGATGCCCCGCCGACCAATGACCTCCACTTGGCCGAGTTCTGCTGGCCCTGTAGAGCTCACGGCCGCGTTCGGCTTAATTGGTCACCACTACCCCGGTCAGAACCAGTTTCTTTAATTCCTCTAAACTTGTGATGCCCAAAGTGGAGGTAAACCTCCCTAGTTATCCTCAACTTTTTAGAACTCCTGTTTGTATTTTCATCTAAAAATAAGCCTCCCGGATATTTAATACACGGACTGCCTATCCCTCTCTGTCAGCCAGCAGGTCAGAAATTTAAAAGGAGATGACATAAACCCAGGGTGCGTGCGGGCCCTGCCTAGTGCAGAGGGGCGGCCACTCACTTCCGTACTCATAGGATTTCTTACTTTATTCCTTAAAATAAGCAAGTTGTATGTGTGGCTTATTAAAGCAGGTTTATCTTAACAAGTGGACTTCTTAATTTTTTTTTACTTGTAAATTTGTTATTGTGGTAAAATACACATAACATAAATTTACCAATTTTTATAAAAAATAAGTTTACCAGGGCGCCTGGGTGGCTCAGTTGGTTAAGCGTCTGCCTTCGGCTCAGGTCATGATCCCGGGGTCCTGGGATCGAGCCCCACATGGGGCTCCCTGCTCTGCGGGGAGTCTGCTTCTCCCTCTGCCTCTGCCCCTCCCCCACACTTATGCACTCTCTCTCTGTCAAATAAATAAATAAAATCTTTAAAAAAATAAAAATTTAAATTAAAAAAATAAGTTTACCATTTTAACCATTTGTAAGTGTAGGATTCAATGGCGTTCATGTATTCACATTGTGGCAGGCTGATTTTGTACCTTCGAGTCTCAGTGGTTATGTCGTGACACAGAACTCAACAGAATTCTCCATTTTCCTTTACACAAGGGTATTCCAACTTTACTGACCGGAGGTGAGAAAGCCCAGTAGTTTTTTTCTAGGACCAACCACCATAGCACCTCTAGTTGATTACACTCCAACCTGACCCTCCGATGTTTGTTTATAAAGCGATGTGGCCTTGGGACCTGTTTCAACAACTTGCAATGCACTCCGTTCTCTAGAGGGGAGGGAGAGGCCACTGGTGACCTTGTTGAAATGAGGGAAGAGGAAGTTGAGGAGGGAGAAGAGGTTGGGGCATGGCGGGGGCGGGCTGGTGAGGCTCACCTGGTTGCAGACAGGCTTGTACTTGAGCCCTGGCTTGTTCAGGATCATCTCCAGCTGTCTGCATCTAAAGTTGGACACACCGATGGACTTGGTCAGCCCTAAATCCTTACACTTCTCCATGGCCTGTGAACAGAGGGGGTGTGAGGAGTTATCTGTGTAACTGGCTGGGGAAGCATGATAAACAATAATGTGCTCAGCCTGGGGGCTGGGGCTGGGAGAGAAGGTGAGACACAGCAGGAGAGAGAAAGCCTTGAAAGGTGCTGATGTCAATAAATGAGATAGGAATTGGTTAACCGAGTATGAGAATGAAAAAGAAAATAATAGAAAAAAAATGAGTAAGAAGATAGAGTAAGGAAAGAAGGCAAGGGGTTCATGACAGAGCTAAAGGGGCTAATGCGATTTTTAGCTGAAAGCTAAAAAACCTTGAACGATGGCAAAACAAGCTCCAGGAGAACAGGAAGTAGAGCCTGGGAAGCACAGGAAGCAGGGAGGAGGCCATCCATGTCCCCCAGACCACTGGCTCCCTCTTTTCCCTTTGACCTCATTTCCTATTAGGGTTACCAAATTCACCCTGTTCCAGTCACACATGCCCCCTTGCTGTTCTTGAACACGATAGGTTCTCTCTTACCTTAAAAACTGGGCCTTGGGGGCTCCTGGGTGGCTCAGTCGTTAAACATCTGCCTTTGGCTCAGGTCATGACCCTGGGGTCCTGAGATGGAGCCCCACATCGGGCTCTCTGCTCAGCAGGGAGTCTGCTTTTCCCTCTCCCTTTATGCTCTCTCTCTCTCATTCGCTCGCTCTCACTCTTTCTCAAGTAAATAAATAAAATCTTTAAAAGAAAAAAAGCAACACTGGGCCTTGGCTTTCTTTATGCCTGTATCACTCTCCCTCCAGATACCCACATGATCAGTTCCCTTACTTCTTGCAAATCTTTGCCCCGTGTTAGCTGCTCAGGAGGGCCTACCCTGCCCATCTGCATCCTATAGCTACCTTGGCATTCTCAGTTCCGTGAGTCAGCCTTCCCTTCCCATTCCAACCTCATGCCACAGCACCTTCCACGCCATGTGCCCAGAGACCTTGATCTGTTCACTGATGTAGCCTGAGAACTTAAAAATTCTCCACACTGAGTACACCATAGACACTCAATAAGTACTTACTGAATTATTAAATGGGGGGGATGTGAACCAAGGCAGAGGGACATCCAGGGACTCGCCCAAGTCTACACGGGAGCAGAATTGGATGAGACACATGTTTCCTGGATTCCTTGTCCATCCTCTGTCTCCCAACATGCAGAGACATAGATAGCATCTTTGGAGTTATACTCACCTCCCATGTGGCACAGAAATCCACTGTGTCAAAAATGATTTCTCCATCTTTGTCCTTTGGGAAAAGTTCCTCCCCAGGCTAGGACACAGAAAAGAATGAGAGGTTGTATAAAGCTATGTTTGGCCCCAGCCAAGCCATCTACAGACCTTGAGGCTAATGCAACAATCTATTCTCATTCTTGAAACGAATGGGAAGGTTAGGCTAAAGGGAAAGAAAGTACGTGGAGGAAGTATACTTCCTAGAAAGTATGTTTTTAACTGCTAAAGGTTTAATGAATATTGTTTGTGTCAAGGACAACATCTTAGAGAGAAGTGAGGGTGGTGCCAGGACTCCACAGGCCCTTTGGCCCCCGACCCTTCTGGGATAGGCCACTCCCACCCCTGCTTTCCACCTGGAGGTGGCCATGCGAGAGCATGATTCATCAGCATCTCAAGGCCTGAGCTCCAGACTCATTAAATCTCCGGTACCTCAACTGGTCTCCACATTGGGACATTCCCCAGACACAAGAGGACAGAGGCTGAGATTTAGGAGCATGGGATCTTCAAAATACAGACAGTGGATTCATAAGATCAAAGCAAAGACATGGAAGCCAGTGAGCTCTTGTCACTCTGGGACTGGGATGGGAATATGTAGCAGAAAAAAGGGAATCTCAAAGTATTATGTATGTTTTCTCCTCATTTTTATAAACTATATCCTCTGCTATATTCAGCTACTAATTGTTACATTGATCATCAAAGTAAAATAACTTTGCTAACCTTCAAAGCTACTGGGAAATGAATGAGATAAAGATTCACATAGCTCAACCCAAGCTTCCTCAGGGACATGTCCAGGCCGGTTCGAACCAATTCTGGATGGAAGAAGGTTCCCCACACCTGCAATGGTTAAAAGAGAAATGGTATGAGATGACTTTTTTAAAGAATCTTTTTTTCTTTTTTAAAGATTTTTAAATTTATTTGACAGAGAGAGACACAGCGAGAGAGGGAACACAAGCAGGGGGAGTGGGAGAGGGAGAAGCAGGCTTCCCGCTGAGCAGGGAGCCCAATGCCGGGCTCGATCCCAGGACCCTGGGGTCATGACCTGAGCTGAAGGCAGACGCTTAACGACTGAGCCACCCAGGCACCCCCTTTTTTTAAGAATCTTTAGAAGAAATTAATAAAGTATAAAACTGTCACTATTTGTAATGCAGACATGATACCATATAAAGACTCCACCAAAAAACTATTAGAACTAGTAAATTCAGAATTCAGTAAAGTGGCAGGAGACAAAATTAATATACAGAAATCTGTTGCATTTCTATACAATAAGGACACAGTAGAAAAAGAACTTAAGAAAATAATCCCATTTACAATTGCACCAAAAAGGATAAAATACCTAAGAATAAATTTAATCAAGGAGATAAAAGACCTGGATTCTGAATATTATAAGACATTAGTGAAAGAAATTAAAGATGAATGACAAAAACAAATGTAAAGATACACGATGCTCGCAGACTGGGAGAACTAATATTGTTAAAATGTCCATACTACCAATAACAATCTACAGATTCAATGCAATCCTTCTCAAAATACCAACAGAACTAGAACAAACAATCCTACAATGTGTGTGGAACCACAAAAGACCCTGCACAGCCAAAGCAATCTTGAGAAAGAAAAACAAAACTGAAAATATCACAATTCTGGACTTCAAGTTATACTACAAAGCTGTAGTAATCAAGACAGCATGGTACTGGCACAAACACAGACACATAGATCAGTGGAACAGACCAGAAAACCCAGAAATGAACCCACAACTGTATGGTCAATTAATCTTCACCAAAGCAGGAAAGAATATGCAATAGAAAAAAGACAGTCTCTTCAACAAATGGTATTGGGAACACTGGACAGCCACATGCATACACATAAACTCAAAATGGTTAAAGACTTAAATGTGAGACCTGAAACCATAAAAAGCCTAAAAGAAAACACAAGCAGTAATCTCTTGGATGTTGGCCTCAGCAACATACTTATGGATATGTCTCCTGAGGCAAGAGAAATAAAAGCAAAAATAAACCGTTGGGACTACACCAAAGTAAAAAGCTTCTGCACAGTGAAGGAAGCAATCAACAAAACAGAAAAAGCAACCTACAGAATGGGAGAAGATATTTGCAAATGATATATCTGATAAGTGGTTAATATCAAAAATACATAAAGAGCTTATACAACTCAACACCAAAAGAACAAATAATCTGATTAAAAATGGCAGAAAACCTGAATGGACATTTTTCCAAAGAAGATAAGCTGATGGTCAACAGACACATGAAAAGATGCTAAACATCATCAACCATCAGGGAAATCCAAATCAAAACCACAATGAGATACCACCTCACACCTGTCAGAATGGCTAAAATCAACAACACAAGAAACAACAGGTGTTGGCAAGGATGTGGAGAAACGGGAACCCTTCTACATTGTTGGTGGGAATGCAAGCTGGTGCAGCTGCTGTGAAAAACAGCATGGAAGGATGTTCCTCCAAAAATAAAAACTAGAAATACCATATTATCTACTACTATAATTCCACTTTAGGGTACTTACCCAAAGAAAATGAAAACACTAATTCAAAAAGATACATGCACCCCTATGTTTATTGCAGCATTATTTACAACAACCAATATATGGAAACAATCCAAATGTCCATTGATAGATGAATGGATAAAAAAGATGTGATACATATGTATATATACAAATGGAATGTTATTCATAAAAAAACGAAATCTTGCCATTTGTGACAACATGGATGGACCTAGAGGATATTATGCTAAGTGAAATAACTCAGAGAAAGAAAAATGCCATATGATTTCACTTATATGTGAAATCTGAAAAGCAAAACAAATGAATGAACAAACAAACAAACAGAAAACAGAAACAGACTCATAAATACAGAGGAGAAAATGGTAGTTGGTGGTTTCCAGAAGGGACGGGAGGCAGGGGAGGGGTGAAACAGGTGAAGGAGATCAAGAAGTATGAAGTTCCAGTTAGTTAAACAGTAAGTAGGTCATGAAGAATGGAGAATATATATAGTCAATAATGTTTCAACAGCGTTGTATGGAGACGGATGGGGGCTACACTTATCGTGGTGAGTGCTGTGTAATGTATAGACTTGTCAAACCACTCTGTTGTATGCCTGGAACTAAAAGAATATTGTATTTCAACTCTACTTCTGTAACAAAAAATGCTCTTTTAACTTCACTTCAATAAAAAAAAATTGTTGTATTTTAATATGGCTTAGTTGATTGAGTCATCAGGGGCTTGCTGCCTGGTTCTAGCCTAAGCAGAACCAAATAAAACTATTTGATTCAGCTAAAAAAAAAAAAAAAAAGAATCTTCAGGAGAAAATAATAAAATGGCAAGTAAACAACAGCAACCACAAATCCAAGTGCCGTCATTGGGAAGTCATCCTGCCAAGCTCCTAAGTTCCGTATCCTCATGGCTTCTGTTTCATACTGAATTAAGACAATGAGGTAGAAATGGACAAGTATGGCCCTACACCGAGGGTCTCAAACTTTAAAGTTTTTTTTTTAATTTATTTATTTGACAGAGAGAGAGATAGCGAGAGCAGAAACACAAGCAGTGGGAGTAGGAGAGGCAGAAACAGGCTTCCAGCTGAGCAGGGAGCCCCAACGTGGGGCTCAATTCCAGGACCCTGGGATCATGACCTGAGCTGAAGGCAGACGCTTAACGACTGAGCCACCCAGGCGCCCCACAAACTTTAGAACATAAAGGAATTAATTGGTCTCACTGTACAGAACGCATCCCTGGGTTCTACCTCAAACCTAATAAATCACAGTATCTGGAGACTGAGCTGGGAAATCACATTTTAAACAAGAACCTCAAGCAGTTGTGATTCAGGAAATTGTGTCTTGACTGTATTAAATGGTTCAGTGTTCCCAAGAAAATTGGGCCCTATCGGGATTTTGGGGGGGAGGGTACTTTAGTCAGCTTATTTTAAAGAAGTAATAATTTAAGGAAAATCAATCAAAATTGCTAAAACCAACAAAACAAAAGGATCTAATGGAAAGGAGATAAACAGATGAGAGTAAGATGGTGATACCGCGTCTAACACAGAGAAAGCTTCATCTTCTGGAGCGAAAAGGAAGAGATATCTGTTCACAGACCTGCCTAGGATTCATTTGCGTGGACTTCAACTCTCTCTTCATGGGCTACTTCACCTCACATTTAAATATTTGGTTCTAGGGGCGCCTGGGTGGCTCAGTTGTTAAGCGTCTGCCTTTGGCTCAGGTCATGATCCCAGAGTCCCGGGATCAAGTCTCACATTGGTCTCCCTGCCCAGCGCAGAGTCTGCTTCTTCCTCTGGCCCTCACCCCACTTGTTCTCTCTCTCTCTCTCAAATAAAATAAAATCTTTAAAAATATATATATATTTGGCTCTAGTAGTAGTCAGCTCAATGAACACTACTGGAAAAATGCCTCTTGGATTCTCTTTCTAGTCTGACTTAAATATATAAGTTCTTTTATTTGTTTCAGATATGATATCCATGGATATGAGGAATAGTAGGAGAAAATGCTCAAAAGTATAATATATATATATATATATATATATATATATATATATATATATATATATATAGGCGCCTGGGTGGCTCACTCAGTTAAGCATCCAAGTCTTGATTTAGGCTCAGCTCAAGATCTCAGGTCATGAGATCAAGCCCCACGTAGCCTCCATGTTCAGTGGGGAGCCTGCTTGAGATTCTCTCTCCCTCTACCCCTTCCCCTGCTGGTGCACATGCACACACTCTCTCTCTAAAATAAATAAGTACATCTTTTTTAAAAAGTTAACAAAATACATAAGTATTTTTACAAATATTAATTTCATCCTTGGAGCAGTTCAATTTTCCTACTTCAGAGGAAAGAGACCCAACATGTCTATTATTCACAGATACATAGGAAACTATACACAGAACCTTCGAAGTGTAGAATATGTCCTCTCTCTTCACCATGCCATCGGCAATCTTCTTCCGGATGGCCCTCCCAATCTCTTCTTCATTTAGATACAAATAAGCTGAGTCAATATGGCGGTAGCCTACATTGATTGCTGTCTTGACAGCCTCTTCTACATTACTCTTCGCAACCTAGAAGACCATAAAAAGACAAGGACCTACTGGATTCAGGAATGCCAGTTCCACAAGCAGAGCTATTCAGCAGGACCTATTGTTTTTCTAAGGGCTGAGAGCTAGAGGTGACAGAGCTAAATGTTGACTTATAACCTTAGTGGTAAATGTTTAACAACAGACTCTCTGAAGAAAAGAAGTCCTGATTTAGAATATTTGCCAGTTTCTATGGTATAAATACTCCCACCACCGCTAACTTCAAGCTATGAATATTAGGAAAAGGTGCTCACCATCGGATCTTGTGAGCCCATGAGCTGGCCCCACTCGTCACTGGCTTAACCCTCTGCCTCTGGGTTTACATGATCTGTGGTTTTATACAGTCTATAGATTTACAGTCCCAAGTTAATTCACTGGTAAGAGATTATTACACTGATTGCAATTCAGAAGTCTAAGGCTCAAAATTATCTATCAGTGCAATGAAGGTATAACTTTACACAGAATAAATTAATGATTTACCTATGTCAACTTGGAGAAACACTTCAAACAACATTTGAGGAAGGACAAAGAGGTAAAAGAAAATAAACTATTCTTTTACGCAAAAATAGCTTGTCATTAAGTTTGTTGTTATGGTGGCGGTTATTACTAAGTTGGTGTCTGTAGGTGATACTTTCTCCTATAATCAATAGACAACTTGGTTATTTTTCTTAGCTGCCTACTGTTCTGCTGGCTTACCAGGCTGGACTTTTAAAGTTATCCATAATTTTCTCTCTCTGTGCCCCTCCTCTCCCTCACTTAAAATGTCTCCCAGGGTTATTTTTTCATTTGTAACTCCCAATGATACAGACTTAAAAGCCACGTCCGAGGAAAAGGAACACTCTGTGCTAGCGTCCTTGCTGAGTCCTCAGCATGACATCCCATGTGACTCTCATGCTGGGGAACGAGCCCTACAACTTGCTCTAAATAGTTATAAGCTCCTCTGCCAAGAACCACTGAAGATGTGCTCTTGTAAATTCGCGATGTTCAAACAAGAAACATGCATGGAGTTCAGTTTTCCAAGCAGAGAGAGAATGTCCAAGGGCCATGTGGCTCTCCCCGTGGCACAGTCTTAACAACTGGGCCTCTAAGAGAATATTTCCACTCCAGATCACCAACATTCTCTCTACGTGAATCTTGCCTCTCTCCAGATCCTTCAGCGTCTGAGATTTCTCTAGATATTCTACGAGCGTGGGTGGACAGAGAGCTCTTGGACCCTGGGCGTTACAGAGAAACTTCATGACAAGCAAGGTTGCTGCGAAGTCCCTGACTCCTGGGTTTTACTGATTCCAACAGACTTTGAATGGCTACAACTGGACAGCAGGTGCAAGGAACAGAAACAGCGTTGCCCATGCCTGGACTGCTGATAGATGACACACTTCCATGTCCCTTGATAGAGCACCACTCCAAGTGTGATCCTTGGATAAACAGCATCAGAGTCACTGGCTAGCTCATTAGAAATGTGGATTTTTAAGCCCTATTCCCAGATCTACTCATTCAGAACCTTTGTGGGTGCAGCCCCCAAATCTGCATTTTTAACAAGATCCTCCAGTGTTTGTATGCCTATTAAAATTTGAAAAGCATTGACCTAATGCAGAAAACAACCTAACCTGGAGAGAAGCAGCTTACAAATGGAGAAAATGAGGCCTTCTTGCATTTCCTAAATTCTGATTCTGATAAGGACCCATGTCTGCTACTCTCCATCTCCAATGTCATTACGACTACCTCACTAGGAGCAGAGGTGCCAAATCCCAGCATAGGCATGAGGTGTCCATCATTCAGCTTTATAGAGCAAGCTTTCATTTGGTTCATCTCTTTGCACTCTTCTGGCTTTTTATGAAAAGAAATCTGCTGAGGGGAGAAAATAATATAATTGCTATTTTTTTTAACAGCTTTAATGAGATATAAGTCAGATACCATAAAATCACCCCCTTTAAATTACCCAAGTCAGCAGTTTTTAGTATATTCATGGAGTTGTTATCCATGTACAATTTTAGAGCATTTCATAACCCCATACTCATAGAAACAACTCCCCATTCCTCTCTCCCTTCGACCCCTGGCAACCACTTTCTGTCTCTTTGGATTTGCCTATTCTGGAATTTTATATAAATGCATTCATACACTCTGTGGCATTTTGTGACTGCTTGCTTTCACTTAGCATAATGTTTTCAAGGCCAATCCACGTCGTAGCGTGTAATAGTACTTCACTCCTTTTAATGGCTAACATCCCTTTGTACAGATGTACCACATGCTTTTTATCCATTCATCAGCTGACAAACATTTGGTTTTTTCAGCTTTTTGCCTACTGGGAATAATGCTTAAGTAAACATCCATGCACATGTTTTTGTGTGGACATACATTTTCAATTCTCTTGAGTCTATACATAAGCCTGGAATCACTGAGTCATAGAGCAAACCCAGGTTTAACGTTCTGTGTAACTGCCAAGTGTTTTCCAAAATGGCTGCAACGTTGACATTCCAATTCTTGAGAATTCCAGTTTCTCCACATCTTCTCCGATACTTGCTACCCACTGTTTTTTGTTAGTAGCCATCCTGACAGGTATGAAGTGATATTGTGTTTTTGATCTGCATCTCCCTGATGATGAGTGACGTGGAGCATATTTTCATGTACCTCTTGGCTATTTGCATATCTTCTTTGAAGAAATGTCACTTCAGTCCTTGCCCATTTTTGAATTGGTTATTAGTTTCCTTTACTAACAAGTTGTGGGAGTTCCTTATATATTTTGGAAAGGAACTTCTTATCAAATACATGGTTTGCAAATGCCAAATTCTTCCATTTCAAAGAATGCCTTTTCTCTCTGTTGATGGTTTCCTTTGCTGTTTTCAAGCTTTTTGGTTTGATGAAGTCCCACTTGTTTATTTTCGTTTTGTTGCTTGTACTTCTGGTACGAAATCACGATTAATGTCATTAAGATTTTCTCCTATGTTTTCCTCCAGAGTTTTATTTTATTTTTTTTTAAGTTTTTATTTATTTATTTATTTGAGAGAGAGAGAATGAGAGACAGAAAGCATGAGAGGGAAGAGGGTCAGAGGGAGAAGCAGACCCCCTGCTGAGCAGGGGGCCCGATGTGGGACTCTATCCCGGGACTCCAGGATCATGACCTGAGCCGAAGGCAGTCGCTTAACCAACTGAGCCACCCAGGCGCCCTCCTCCAGAGTTTTAAAGTTCTAGGTCTTACATTTAAGTCTTTAATCCATTTTGAGTTGAATTTGACAACCCCAATACATTTGTATTATTCTAACATGGTCTTAGAATGATTAATCTTTGATTAATTTTGTTTTTAAACTATTTAATGAAGCTCTAACTCTGGGCCTTCCTCCATTTCTAAGTTTGAACTGATAAATTAAGAGAGCAGTTGAGGGGTGCCTGGGTGGCTCAGTAGGTAAAGTGTCTGCCTTTGGCTCAGGTCATGATCTTGGGGTCCTGGGATCGAGCCCCATGTCTGGCTGCCTACTCAGTGGGGAGTCTGCTTCTGCCCCTCCCCCTGGTTGTGCTCTCTCTCTCACTCAAATAAATAAAATCTTTAGGAAAATAAAAATAAAAAATAAATAAAAGAGCAACTGAAATCCAGGCATTATCTGCTTCATGATATGTAGCAATAGAAAGTACACAGACTACCTGAACAGTTTTGAAAAAAGAAATTATAATGATGTTTATTCAGATTTTATGATGCTATGGAAAATTATTAAATATATATATTCTGAAGCTCTTATCTGATGTTTCCAAACCAATTTCTCAAAAGGCTCTGCCCTATCAGTGTTTACACTCTGATCGACAGAGCATGAAAATTCCTAGCTCATTGACCCTGTGACAGTATTGTGATACCTCATTGAAAAATTTCTGAACAGACTATTGGGCTGTCACACTCCTTTTCTAGCATGTGTTATCCTTAATAAATAGAGCAGGTCTCATTACAAGAGGCTGACTAACGCTATTAGGTTAATTTCTGGATTCTGACTCTGTTAATCTTTTCCTTCCCTCTCGTGCTTAAATCAGGTGCATTAAAGCATCTCCTTCTCCTCTCCTCTCAAAAAGGCGTTAGACTCCCAGTAAGTCTATTCCACCTTGCTTACACAAAGGAGACGTGCATGAAATGTATGCTAACTAGACGTACTGTGGGCATTATTCCACTATCTATCCAAATATCAAATCATCACGCTGTATATCTGAAACACATAACGGTATACCTCAATTATATCTCAATAAAAAAAGTATGCATTATAAATATTAAAAAGATGTGGGGGGGAAATAAAATATGCATTAAAAATGAAATACCATTTTCATAAGTCTGTTTAAATTGTTGTATTCCATGAAAAGATCAGCTACAAAGATGGTGAAGAAAGTAAGATTACACTACATAAACAATGCGTACATGGGGTATGAAACTCCAGAATGTTGACAATTACTGTGATATTTATTATTTCCTTGTGATTTTGGTCTCTGTTCTGGAGTAGCCAATTTTTCAGATCCCTAAATGAAAATGTATTAATTTTGAAGAAACAGATTAAAATTTATTTTAAAAAATCCCTGGGTTTGTAGATTTTATTGCATAATTGGTCACAATGAACTTACCAGCAGGTGTTCAGCCTGCCCAGATTTAGAGTCCCCAAATGCCTTCTCAACCTGCTCCCTCCTGGCCTCCTCTGCTCAGACGTCTCCTGTCCTTTCCCTTTGATGTCTTGTCTTGGCCCCTCTAACTAGAACTGCTCCGTCTCTGCCTTTACTGAGTTTAGAAATTCTTCCAAGACCTTTGAGCTTGCCCAAAGCCAGCTCAGTGACTGGCACCTTCTCCTTGGGTTGCATAGTTCATACCAGGGATTGTTTAATTATGAAACACTTGTTGGTATTTTCTGGACTTTGATACGCACTACCACCTTGAATCGGTATATGCAATTCCCCCTCAGTACTGATTCTCAACCATCTCAAACCTGTTTCTATTTGCCTGGTTTCTCCATTTTATTTTAATTTCCTCTAACCAACTCCTTTAATAAAGTAACTGTCAACATAGTATAAGATATTAGTGGTTGACAATACCTCACCCTTTAAGAAATATATTTAATCGGAAACATGATGTGAGCTCATACTTCTAAAATTATGTTTAAGATACTATTTCCGGCTCTGTCTCTCCTAAGGGAGGCAAACAGGACCTAGTAGCATCTCTACCTACCCCCAATTCTCTTGTGTGATACCAGTGACCAGAGTTTACTCCCTAGCTCTGTTTCCTCCGAAAAGAAATCTGTCTTCTTAGAGAGTAGCTATTTGTGTCTTGCATCAGGAAAATTCAGGACAGACCTGAATATCATGTTGTTGCCAGAAATCAAGCCAGCAACAAGGCTGCTAAAACAAGGCATCCAAGGAAGGAATCCTGCCAGACACCTGTGACAATTTGAAATGAAAATAACATTAACATCGTTATTTGGAAGAAGTTGATTCTATGAAAAGCTACGAGTTCATAATTACAGTGCAAAACAGAAAATTAATATAAAGGTTAGGAAAAGGCGGTTGAAATATAAAAGCAGGATGAACACAAATAAAATATGTTGAGTTTGTCACCGGTTTTAATAAGTGAGGGAAGGTGAATGGACGTGACTATTTTTTCTTCTTTTATATCCATGGCAGGTGATAGAGTAGAGCTCTGAATGTGTCTATTTGTGCAAGCGGGACATTGAGGCAAGCCCAGCAGCTCTGAAAGGGCGCCAGGTGGGAAGGATGGTGGCAGGTGTATGGACAGGAAGTGTGCCAAGTACAGGAACAATGGATCCACCAGTGGCCACACAAGTGACGAGTCAGTGGTCCGATGCTCAAGTACAGAAAGAGCTTCACAGTGTGGAAGAGAGGAGAATAAATCCTGTGGATCCCATAACACTAGTAAATGGAACCTCTAAAAGGCAAGTCCATTCATGAGACACCAGGGTGCAAAAATACTAAAACCTATAAGGAAGGCAAAGGCATGGGCACTTTCTAAAGTGTGTAGAAAGTAAAGGTTTACCATAAAAAAAAGAGGTCATTTCGGTGATCAGTGGCTTGGATTTGAATCACCTGAGGAGAGGCAACCATATCAGGGCCCTAACTAAGGATAAATCAATCATCCAAATCCCGCTAATTGTTTGGTTCCAAAACATTTTACTTCTGAATACTGAAAGTTGGAATTCCCATAATTTTCAAGTGTCCTGAAATATTATTCATCCTTTGGGTTTTTCAGCCATTAAAAAAAATGTCTAAGTCATTTTTAGCTTGGGGGCTATACGTGCAGTGAGCCGTGCTCACTTTGTGGATCTCTGCTCCATATAATTAGTAGACATTACGATATCTATGATTATCTTTCTATAGATTATGTCTTAACTGTGACAAAATCTGCATAACAATGTCCTCTTGACCATGCATAACTACACAGTCCGATGGCACTAAATAGATACACAGTGTTGTACAACCATCACCACTAACGACACAGGACATTCTTGTCATCCCCAACAAAAACTCTGAACCTTTCAAAAAATCTCCTTTGGGAGAGTTCACTACCGATGTGTAGAAGCACAACTGATCTCTGTGTGTTCGCCTTGCTCCTTGTAAGTTTGCTGAGCTCGTTTATTAGCTCTAGGAGTTTCCTTATGAGCCCTTTGGGATTTGCTGTACGTAAGGTCAAGTCATCTGTGATTGAGAATAGTTTTCCCTCATCCTTTCCAATTTGGATGCCCTTTGTTTCTGTTGCTTGTCTCATGGCTCTGGCTAGAGGGTCCAGTATAATGTTGAATAGCGGTGGTGGGAATGGGTGTCCTATCTTGCTCCTGATCTCAGGAGGAATGCTTTCAGCCTTCCAACATTGAGTAGGATGTCAGCTGTGGGTTTTTAATGTATGGCTTTGCTGGGAGTTTAGCTAAACTACTGATGATGTCACTGCCTCAGCATCCCTTTTGTGTGGCTAAGTACAAAATGAACTGAATGATGCTAGCCCCTCCCACAAACTCATGCCCTAGAAAACAGTGTTTTTGAATGCCTCCAAAAGCAGAGATGGCTCCTTGAAATCTCCTGGAATCCACATTAAGATTTATACCCTTTGGGGTATAAAACAATGGCAAGAGCCTCTGTATTTGCAGGCAGCAGACGGAAGCAGCAACCTACCATCGAAACACAGAACATTGATACTGACCACCCTGGATCCAACAAACCCTTCCAGACCTCTCATTTCCATCCTCACAGCTACCTGCCGCAGGCCAGGGGGGTTGGGGATTCTAGGAACTACCACTCTGAGGGCTCTAATCGACCAACATTAGCTCGATTCACCGGCCAAGCTTTCCCCTGAATGTGGCAAGCTTTCAGATACACTCCAGAGCTCCAAACTTTTTTGAAGGAAATCTA